GAGCTGTGGCTACGTCCCGTCACCCTAAGTGCCTCTTGTCCATGTCCACAGCCCGCTGCTACCTCTGTGTGCCCCTCGGAGAACATTAGCCAGGGACAGGGAGCAGCACGTGTGATACTCCACCACGGAGCCACGTGGGTCCATCAGACTGCACCCTGCCTGGGCTACCACCCCCCTATGGGACACCAGGGATACACCCTGGGCGCTGGTGGGCTTGTGGCACCAAAATGCCTGGGGCCTGGCGAGGGTCCTGGGGGCTCCCGGTGTCTCCAGGAGAGTCCCCAGTCCCCCCGGGACTGACGTGAGGGGTGGTGGAAAACCAGGATGGAGGTTCCCTTTCCCCATTCCCGTGTGTTGCGGCAAAGGGGAGAGGTTTTGTGAAGGGCACGGTGGTATTGGATTCCTTTCATAAAGATTCTGGACCTCGGTTCCCTGCCCGTATCCAAATTTGAATGAAAAACAGTATTAAAAATTCCTCTTTTGAGGAAGAACCTCTGAGCACTTGTAACTGGCAGTGCTTTGATATTCTAGATAACCCGTTCCACAAGGAGTGCTGGGTGATGCTGACTGATAGCATCAGTTGTGAGCATGCTCTATAGAAAGGTTCCCGCTGTGGGGGTGAGGAAACAAAATGTGGTGATTCAATCCTGCGGGGTTATTATGGGGTTACTAGAGTCTAGGATTCTAGAGTCGGAGGATTGTATGAGGACGCTACGAGGTTACTAGCTCCTGTGAGCGTAAGTTCTGTTATTTCAGGTCCTGTGATTGTTTCCCAATTCCAGATTCTTTGACTCTGTGATGATTTTGGGCTTCAGATGTGTGGTGATTCCAGTTCCTCGCTAAGAGTATAGACTCGCAGATTTGTAGCTACGTGGGACGATGCATTTCCATATCCACCCCTGTGCGTAGCGTGTGGCACAGTTCTGAGTGCCTGACACAAACCCAAGCAAAATCAATTTCTGTTGGTTATTGAAAAAATGAATAAATTCTTTGCTTTAGTTTGTGCTCCCTGTTCCATTTATTTACGTTCTGCCTTACTTCGTATGTAACAGGTAATACCTTTTTCCCCCTTTCATCCCTTGATGGCTCCGGACGGTCCCTTGTTTCTCAATTATAATGGGCTCTCAGTGCCATGAGCCCGCTCATGTAAGAATTTGGGAGTGGTGTTCGCTCCATGAATCTTACCATAGTTAGAGGCCCTAGTTGCTACCGTGCAGACTTCACCAATTTATAACAGATTGATACAGCTACAATATACACTCCTAAGGGGAAGCAGGAATGTATTTATTGATGAGCATAGATGTGCTGTAGTAGGTATAACAGTGACTTCACAAGGCTGGAGATGGCTGGATGCCCTTGGTTGTTTTCCACGTAGAGGACAGGGTTACACACACACCTACAGGATGCTCTGCTGCTGTGTCATGAGGATCAGAGCCAACCCTGCTGCTGTGTGAATTCTTCAAACCACAGAGGTAAGGTTCCTCAGCACAGCTGGATCCACTCCTAGTCCCAGACGTGTTCAGGAGTTTGTGTCTAAGGGATCCTCCGTGCGCGGTCAAAGATATAACCCTAGTGAAGCTGACAAAGCTCAAGCCAAACTATTAGTCGCTTACTAAGGATCCGTATCAGCAAGGTGTCTTGACGTGGAGGTGGAAAGGATCTCTGCAGGTGTGACCTTGAGAGGCATCCCTGCTCAAGGGCAGAGCTCGTCCTGCAGCCTGCTGCTGTGCAGGAGAGCTTAAGAGGTGCTTGTGCTGCTCTGTTTTGGTGGTAAGATGATTGACTCGTTGCTGTGCTTTGTGTTTAGGCACGCGCTCAGTTGGCCCTCAGCTGTTGAGCCAGAGGTCTGCTGTCAGTTCTTTCAGCCTCCCAGTTTGAGACAGTTTTGTGATCGTTAATGTGGTTTAGCCAGGAGTGTTGCTCACTGTCTTCCTGTGCCAGGCTGAGGGAGGAGGGTGGGAGAAAGGAGGAAAGAAAGGGAGAGGAGGGAGCGCACCATCACACTGGCTTTGCTGGGGAAGAAGCCTGGTGAGAGCAGTGCTGCTGGTCTGAGTCCCAGCTGGCTTTTACCCCTAGGCAATGCCCTGCAGGTGGGCTGGTGAGGGTGGGGGTTGGGCAGGGATTGCTGCATTCCCTCACACCTCTCCTGCCCATTGTTTCTCTTGTCCCAGCAGGCTCCAGTTTAACATCTGCCTGCAGCAGAGCAGCAACTGGCCGCAGCATGTCCATCTCAGGCAGGGGCTTGGGGAAGCAGCCAGGAGCGGGCAAGCAGCAAGAGATGGGAGTGCAGGGTGAGAGTGAGGCGTCCTCAGCCAGCGTTTGTGTGCTGGGAACAGAGAAGCCGCTGGGACAGGAGTTTCTCTCCTCTCCAAGCTGCTTCCCTGGGCCTTGGCTGTGCCCAGCAAGGAGCCTTTGCAGGAGCCCGTGGCCTTTGCAGAGGTGGCCGTGTACTTCAGCAGTGAGGAGTGGGCGCTGCTGGACCCTGCGCAGCGAGCGCTGCACCGGGATGTGATGCTGGGGACGTAGCAGTGCGTGGCCTCGCTGGGTGAGGGCTTTGCTGCTGCTCCTTCTTGTTAGGGCAGCTCTGGCCGTGCAGAATGAGCCTCTGCAAGCAGGGCGTAGAATAAATGCAGTGCAGTTACTTATTGACCAAGGCAACAGCAACGGAAGAAGCACAGAGAAGCGTGAGTTGCAGAATTGGTGTGCTCAGTCCCTTGAGAAAAGCCCCAGAGTCACTGCTGACACACAGGCGCCAGCCTGGAGGGGTTGGATCAGCTCCCTGCAAACAGCCCTTGTGCTGCTGTTCTGCATGGTGCCACCAGCTCCAGCACCCAGACGTCTCCCAGATCACTCCCTTGGAATTCTATACTTTTTCTGTTTGTTTCCCATAAACCTTGTTGAGGCCTTGGTAAACAAAGCATCCTAAAGGGAGCGAAGAAAATGTCCCTGCATCATTTTCAGAGATGTAAAAGGGCTCCAAAGGAAGTCGGTATGTGTTGGGCCAGTGTCATTCAGAATTGAAACAGGGACACGCTGGCATGCAGCAGAATGGGCTTGTGCTTGACATCTCGTAGACAGGGTTGAAAAGAAACCTGAAACACACGCAGCCTCTGTAGACCCACCCCTCCAAAATCAGCACATTTTGCACAGCCAGAGGTGCCTCCCCAGTCTTCCGTCTGTTGGCAGTTTTACTTCATCTGTTTTTTCTTCAGATCACAGCAGAGTGAGTGTGCCTGCATCAGCGGAAGAGCTGCCTTCGTGGAGGTGCAGATGCAGCCGGCCGCTGT